GGATAATAAGGAAACATTATGAACTTCATACCAATAAATGCATATCTTAGACAAACGGATATATTCCCTGGAAAATATAATTTCCAAAGCTCACTAAAGAGGTTAATTAGGATTTACTGATAGGAAAGAACTTTGGCACGCCAGAGTATTTGGGCATAAAATGGAATTAATTCAGGAAATACCTCCTGACTTAGATTAAAATAGATTTAAATAAAGTATGTCCAGATAAATGATCTGGCTCTTACTTAGCTATACCCATGCTTGTCAAAAATCATGATTTTATTCTTTAGGTTCAAATCATATTGAAATTTGTAGTTTTGTTTAATAATGACATACTAGAAAGTCAATGTAGACCCTTGTTAAGAAAAAGGACTGGGAATAAATGTTATTTGGAATCTGAAAAAATGTTGTTCTACTCAGCAAAGATGGTTTAGGAAAAAGAGACCTCATGAGCTTAACCACAAGTGACTGTTATTTTTAAACATTTTTTACCACAGAAGAAAATGTCTAGGGTTCTCTCTATTCAGCCCACCCCATTTACAGAAGCCCCTCCTAGTCTCTACGGTTAACATAATAGTAGCTACTAAAAAGTAAAGATTCTGCCCAGGCGCAGGGGCTCACACCTACAATCCTAGCACTTTGTGAGGCTGAGACAGGAGAATCACTTGAGGCCAGGAGTTGAGACCTGAGCAAAATAGCCAGACCTGGCTCTACAAAAGAAATTTAAAAAATGAGCTGGGTATGGTGGTGCACACCTGTAGTCCTAGCTACTCAGGAGGCTGAAGTAGGAGGATCGCTTGAACAAGGAGGGGGAGATTGCAATGAGCTATGATGACACCTCTGCATGCTAGCTTGGGCAACAGTGAGACCTTGTCTCTAAATAAATAAGCAAAAAAAATTATTTTTCCTATTTTTATTCAAATCATACATAACATCATACCTTTGAATCAACCCAAGATAACTTCTATTGACATATTTCAGGACCAACATCAAGAAATTTGATATGCTAGCTAAATCGTGAGGTTTCTGATCATCAGTAAATATACAGTTTCCATTAGGGTTTGAAATACTGCAATTAGTTCAAGGATTCCTAGTAGACTTCCTTGCCCTTTATGGATTCAGGAATTACACAGGTTTGAAGACCATCATACTGAAAGGAGCTGAGTGAGAATGACGTACAGTAAAGACAGAACAAGTAAAACTCAGTCATTTAAATTCAGATTTTATCTGTCAATTTATAATTATATTCACACAAAAAGTGCGAT